CTTCCTGTCTTGTCCGCTCTTTGCAGTTTGCCATTCATGTCACCCCACCAGTTGGAATTTTGATGTCGCCAACTGAGGTCATGTCCAGTATTGATTGCAGTTGTCTGTAGAATTCCTCCTTCTCCTCTTACTCTGCATTATCTGTAGGTGCACAGCGTAGCATTGTATGATTATGACCTTCCCTCCTTTTGAGTTGAATCTTGCTGTCATGATCCTGATTGTGAAGGAGATTGGTTCCCACTACCTGAGAGAGAGAGAGAGAGCCTTCGATGCTGTTGGGGACATCATGATAGCCACTCCGAAACTCAGTGTACTCGTGGTTGTCGTGTTACCTGGGTGATAATATAGGAGTAGATTATTGATTCTCCAGATGACAGTTTGGAGAGTTCACTCACATTCCATCTGCTTCCGCAAATTCCATTTGAATTAGTATGCTTATGGTTTACTTTGATTAGTTCAAAGAAATTATTATCAGTGGTAGATCTTAGTTGTAATATAGTCATGACTTTAGGTTAACACACAAAATTAGTGGAAATATCATGTTTACGAGCCATAGAGAGCTGTGTAAACGGTCTGACCAAATTAATGCCAACTTAAGAAAAATCTGACATGAAGTCACTAATCTAAACTTCATATTCTTAATACTGAATAGATAAGGACCAAACTTCTCTGAATGAAATCTGAAAGTTGAAAAAAGAATTTGGGTTGTTGCTGAACTTTGGCTACAGACTTTTACCTAACGAGGTCAGAAAATAATGACAAATAATGATCTGTGATCTCTCATTTTCAAATTATTATACAGAAGTGAATAACCACTTTTAGAATATGCATTCTGTATGCCTAAACTTGTTTCATTTTCATAGACAGAAAAATTCAACGTAGAACCTAACACATGAGTGCACTGGTTCAAGATGCCATACTCCACAATAGGTGGATAGAAAATGAGTAAAATCAAACGAGATAAAGTAGTATGAGAGAATAAATAATCAGAAGATAAAGGTTAGTGTAAATATTCAAGTTTTAGAAGATATCAAGTAGCAGTTAGTGAAAGCGGAGTAAACAGCAATAGCAAGACATTTATACTGCAAGCACATATATCAGGATAACTGATAAACTATTTACAATGAGTCGAAGACTGATGATCACATGTTGTACTGCCAGAGCACCATCACTGTGAAGAGAATTATGGTTGGGTTGTAGTGTCACTAACAACAATGACACTAGCAGGAAGATTAATCCAGGCGATGCACACCATGGGTACTTCTCCAAGCCACTATCTAACATTTGAATAGAGAATATTATAATTCAAGCATAAACATAATATTCATTTGAAATGACTGACAGTTAATCCATAGGGAAAGACGTACGGAATATTTCTTAGGTGTCTGATCGTTATAGTGAGCAGAAATCTCTTTCATATCTCAGTTTTTAAGATCACCTGGCTATAAGTGGTATGCATTTTCTTCTGTTCATATAAAAGAGTAGTTGAACAGGCATCGATTCAAGTATATTGTGGAACAAATGAGTCAGCATACGCCACCAGATATAACTAGCATATCTCCCAAGAGAAATTGTAATGTTTGTAATCGTGCCCCGAATATCTCAGTAGTAACAGAATTAAATAATGTGGATTGAGATCTCCGAGGGTTGTCACCTCCCTCGACATCACAAATATGCCATGGTGATGAGTACTTTTGTGCATGAAACATAGGTTCACAGCTTCTTATTGATGGTTAAAAATCAATTAACATTGTGTAAAGTTAGGAGAGAATGAATTAGTATTATTGTCATGATATAGATGTTATGTACAGATTTGGTCATCAGCCTGAAACTGGAAATAACTCAAAGGCGTTTCCATTATTAGCGGAGATCGGACAGAAAACCTATAGGAATCTGAGAGAACTGCATTACTGTTTTGTCCTAATCTAAAACCCATCAGGAATCGTGTACATATGGCTATAGGTGATGAGCGCATCACCACTCAGGTACTGGGATGGAACCCAATAGCCCAATTATTTCCAACTTCAGTTTCTTCATGATGTATTACAGCTATCAGTCAAAGCCAACTGTGAGAATTTGTTTTGTATCTGATTTGATTGACCCTGTAGTTATCCTGGTTTTTTCAGACGCTCCCTTACTGATATCATTCCATGATGAACACTCCTCTGAAACCTATCAATTCACCACAAATCGTAAAAGCCAACTAAAAGTATTTTTTTTACATCAGGTGAATTAAATGTAGACGATCAGATGTAAATCAGTGTCGATTTTTATTCTTTCAAGTGTTAAACTACACAAACAGTTAAGCTTGTCTCGATAGCAGTGGCAAGCCCTATGAATATTAAAACAGATGATTTTGAGAAAATAATGAATAAATCGTGATCTATTGGAGCACAAAAACAGCGATGAAGTGACTATATGTCAGAAGACGATAGTGTTGTTACAAAGGTTGAGCATCTAGTGAGTTCAGCTCTTTCATTCGCAGTGGGCGTAACTCTGACCTTCTCCATTGTACTGTTGAATTCCATCAGGTCAAAGGTAATAAGAAATGTAAGCTATACAAATTTATCCACGGTACTTGTCTATTTCTTTGTATCTTTGTCTGTAGTGAATGTATAAACAGTTTAAATGAGTAGAAATCATTTATCCGTATTCAACAGATGGGTGATTGTAAAAGCCCAAAATTTGACGCTATGGCAACTGTTTAGGCCAAATAAACAGTATTAGTAATATTGCTTGTATTACTATACTCGTCGCACAAGAAGTGGCTATCGTGGCTGACGTGGGTCGGTGGTCTAGTGGATAACGCTCTTGCATTTGGAGCTTTCTGTCCTGGGTTCGAATCCCGGTGGAGACAACATCACTCGTTGGGAGGCCGGGGCATCCGGCTGATGAGTCCCAAATAGGACGAAACACCCATTCTGGATTTCACTGTTAGCCACTATCTATCATTAGTAAATGAACAGTAGCTTTAAATCATTTGTAGATTCCGCAGCTGTAAGAGTTTCCATGCCAATGAAAATGTTTCTTTGAGTAGAATCTTGTCACCGTCAGCAAGGAAGAAAATTGCATGATTGTGAGAAGATGAGTTTAGAAACAACATATCTGAACACTAAGGCCATGAAACACATTGTTTAGCAAAGCGAAAGGAGTTAATATAAGTGTAAAACTTGGGTACAGGGGGAGGGGGGCGGGAACAAATGGAAACCACCGAATTCTGAATTGGTAGTGTTATGAAACAGACAGTCTATGTGATTAGGGACTTAAGAGGCATTTCACTTCCGTTCAGTGGCTGCTAATGTCAAAGATCACTTGACTGGGGTATAGATATCAATGTGGCCGTTTTAATCCTTCTGGTTAGCGTACCCGGTACCTTGTTAAACCATCGTGGTCACAACATCTGATTCATTTTTTGTTTCACTGAAGATGGAAGTTAGCGAAGGGTTATAGTAGAACCAAATGAAAATAAATCTAAACATTTTTAAAAAGTGGAAAACAAATAAATACCTACTACGATGAGGTTAAATATAGTGATTTATGAAACTGTCCTACTTGGCTAGGTAAACAGTTTATGAAAGAAAGCATAAGTAGACAGACAGAATGATATCTGTTGAGCGACTGGTTTATTTTATGTCAGTAGGATCTTTCACAGCAGGTAAGCAATGCTTTCCAAGTCAACGGTAAACTGGCTTCCTATTGTTAAGTGCAGACAGAAGGCTTGTATCCATCATCCATGAAGAACAATGACCTTAGCTTATTTTAACAAGCATATGATAATGCCAAAGTTATTTCACTGTAATAAATCAGAAGTTTACTTGAGCTACATACTGGCATAGTCTGACTTTAACGTACCCCTGAAACATATTGTTTGCCTAGCTAAAGGCCGATATCTTGGCAAAAAACAGAGTCGTTAATTTCTTTAGGAGATTAAAGCTGGAATAGTACTGACATCGTCCGATGGGATTGTGTTGTGTAGTGGCAAAACTCAGTAACAAAACAAAGAATTTCAAACATTTATGCTACCCAAGTAGTAGATGAAATCAGCATATAACGAACTATTTAACCTATTTTATGGGTGCAATTTCTCTGTAACTCTTTGTACTTCAAATCAAAGATTCCCTGTTTAACTTGACATTTGTAACTTTGACTAAGGCAAATGGATCTGGAAGTGTTAACTGTCACCTCCAAACAACTTTAGAGTGAAACAAGTTCTTTACTTCTGAAGGTTTTCGATGACCTTTGAACTAAGATTTCTAATTACTCAAGCAGGTAACAAATAAGTGGGCTATGCATCTAGAATCTTTCTCATTATGAAGAGATAGATTTGAAAAAATTTCAGTCACAGTGGGAGTTTGTTTTAAATATCCTTTTCTAAGGTTTTTAAATGATATGATAAAGGATAGAATATTAAGTAAGCATACATCACTTCTGAAATAAAGCTTACAAACAACGCACTGTTTGTCGGTTTAGTTTGCACCGGGTGATGACTCAAGGTAAAATGAAAATTCGGACCGCGGCCGGATTCGAATCAGCGACCACCGCGTTTCCGGCCTGATGCTGTACCAACTGAGCTACGAGGTCCGATTGCCGACTAGCGTTTTATTTCACTTCAATTACAGGTGGGGTTTCGCCTGACTACCATATGAATTTGTGAGGCATTACTACCGCTTGATCGTATTAACACTGACTGCCCAGTCAGGACTTCTCATCCCGACGGTAGTCGGGCGAAACTCATGGTGATTGAAGTAAAATAAAATTTGGTCAGCAGCGGGACCTCGTAGCTCAGTTGGTAAAGCATCGGGCCGGAAACCTGGTGGTAGCTGGTCAGAGTCCGGTTGCGGTCCAACTTTTCAGTTCACTTTCAGTCATCACTAGTTTAGCTTGTCTAAGTTACGTGCAATAAACACTGGAAACTGAAAAATCTAACGGATTCCGAGTAAGTGGAGTTCTAGTCCTTGTTCTTAATCAGGGTTCTCCAGTCATAATTTGCTTTAGGAAAAATGAGTACAACAATCCAACCTTTAGCCATACCACAACAATTGCCAAACGGTAGAAGTGGTCCAATTACTGAGGTTGTTGATAGAGGTATGCAAATAAGAGGATAACTTCCTGATATTCTCGTTGTCGATAATTTCAAATAAACATAAAGCCTAAGATGCGAGCTTATGGTGGATAAACTCTCTCATCTCAGTAAAAATATTCCAACCACCTCAGTTAAGATATGCTTTTATATTTTAAAGTATACACTGTCTGTGCATTTTCTCGAAATCTGGCTGTTTGGCTTTGAAGTAGATAACTTGAGTAAAGTAACTCATGGTATGTAATAATTCAGGCCCGATCGTGATGCTAGAATACATGAGACTGACCGACTGAATGGTAAAATCAGCGGAGAACCTTGCACACAGTTGCACTGACTAAAGTTGCCACACTTCACAGAAGTACACAAACAATAGGTGGATAGAAAATGAGTAAAATCAAAAGAGAAAAAGTAGTGTGAAAGAATAAATAATCAGAAGATAAAGGTTAGTGTAAATATTCAAGCTTTAGAAGATGTTAACGCCTGAATACATCAGTACCAATGTAATCGATTTTCAGCCATATCACCAAGAGTCAGTCATTGATTCCTTTCATCTCAGGGACCCTAACGAAGCTGTCTACATCTCTGCAAACGGCTCAGATCAGCAATAAGACACTTCACCGACTGGTATCAGATCTTGGTCTGGCCACCCTGAATTCTCTTCCAACCTAATTCAACTTCTCTGGCAATACACTTTGAGGTGTGTTTTGACGCAGTATTCTCAGTACATGTCCAAGCCACCTCAGTCGACTAAAGATCATAGCCGCATAAATCCATTCGTCTGTCTTGACTACTACCCTTCGAGTGACCTCAACTTTGTCAACGTGATGATCCTATCATAAACGAGCATGGCTACGAAGATACCTGTGATCAAAACGCTGCAGCCACCTCATATCTTCTACTGCTAACGGTCACATCTCAACCATACAGCAAAACAGAACGGACTGCAGCTCAGTATACTCATCCTTTGGTAGATAATTGGATATCTCTCCAGTCGGCGCCACAGTTGATAGAAGTTGGCAAATTATTTAGTGTCGTAAAACATTTGAAATACTCAAAATGGAACTTAGTTTATTTAAATATCTCATAGATTTGGAAATATCTGTGATAAAAACTGTAGGAGTCTACATTTATAGTACATTAATTACACCAGAAAGTATTCTTTCCATGATGTAAGTCCCAGTTTTCGATTCGTATCAGCTAAACCGCATATTGTGTTGTAAAATAATTCATATCGATGGCAAAGATGTTAGTTACATTTTAGGAGGGGTAGAACTTATACCTGTGGAACCACACGCTGATTGCGTCATATAAGATCCCGTCAGCCGGACAGAATAGTAAATTGTTTTTTAGCACGCGATGTTTTCACTTTTATGTACGTGATAAATCACTTCTAGTGGCAATCAGTCGGTATTTTTATTCTAAAGTATCGTCTTAATTCGTCTGATGTGATGCTCCCACTTCTATTTTTGTATGTTTTCACATCGAGATGCTTAGTTGCTAGGTTGTTGTTGTTATTATTATTTACTTCAGTCACCATGACAGCTATACGGACACAGAAAACGCCATCTAAAGTGTGAAAACTGAAGTGGACAAAACATTCAGTAGTAGATAAGATGAGATAATCAAACAGATAAATTAAAACATATTTTAGACGTTAGTAAATTGTGACTGAGAGAGATCTGGAACTCAAAACAAAAAAAATTTAGATGAAATATGTCGATTTTTTGGAGTTGTTGCTTGTATTACACCGTCATTGATTGGACCGAATTAACCAGTCTCTGTTAGCATATGGGCTCCTGTGCAGCTGCTTCGATATTGCCTGTGTTCTTAACTACATAGTAATGATGGATAGTGGCAAGCAGTGGAACCTAGGATGCACATTTCGTCCTATTTGGGACTCGCCAGCCGGTTGTACCCGCCTCCCAGTGAGTGGCATTATTCCCACCGGGGTTCGGACTTGGGAGCGATCTCTTCAAATGCGACAGCCCAATCCATTTTACCACTCAGCCGCGACAGCCACTGCTTGTGGGATGGGTGTAGTTCTAGTGTTATCACTCACTGGGAGTCAGGTACAACCAGCTGACGAGTCCCAATTAGGACGAAATGCGCATCCTGGATTCCTCTGCTAGTTACTATTCATCACTACTATGTTGATTTTTTATGGAAGTTTTTATCTCCCCACGTTTTAGAAAATCTTGGAAACTATCGAAAACAATTGATTTAATTCCTAAGGTAGCACTCATCGCAGACTGATACCAGTTGGAGGACCACTGAAAACTTGGGAGTACGAAACTGCGGTTTCGTCCGATCGTGGAACTCCTCAGATCCTCACTGGTTTTTGAACTGATGTCAGTCCGTGGTGAATACTATCTTAAAAATAAATTCTTCATAAACCTCAAAATAAATTAATGTTCGATTCAATAGTTGGAGCTTGTAGGAGAAAAAAAACACTAATGAGAACGGAGATATGTCTGATTTTAGTAACTCCACTAAGGTGAAGTATTCTTGATTAAAAACCTAACGCTAAACTTGGTGTACCTTAGTATTATGTCGTTAAGTTTAGTGGACACAATGAAGATACCATCGGTAGACTTCAATCAGCGCTTACAACTTTGGAGGTAGACCGCTTATAGACTGACAACCTTTCGGTTGTGTTTAACACAGATAAAGGGCAGAGAATATGCACTGGCCAGTCAGTATAGAGTAAACAACATAATATCTTCTAGTTCTAAGCGTAGATCGGAGGCTGTTAATTCTTTTGATATGTTCGAATCTCTGAAGAGGTATCACTTAGTTTTACACTATAGATTTATTCCGCTGAAAAATATCAGCGAAAAGTAAATTTATGTCAGGGGTTTCCCACCAACTGCATAAAGTTGCTTAGTGTATAGTGATGGCTTTGGTTATTACAAAATTGAAGTTTCGACCAAAGAAATTTAATCCATTTTCAAAAGTTTATATATATCTTACATATGTAACGTAAATACCTCGAGGTTTAAGTTTGCAGGATGGACTTGCAGATTCAGAATTACCCAACATAATTCGTTCTCGTTAGGTGAACACTTATTATCCACTATAAAATATGATAATATCCCGATTTAACATGAAATATTTAACTGTGTAGCAGCTGCATGATCGATGAAATTCGTCCAAATAATTTATAAAAGAACAAACTAAAATTAAACAAATCATCATGAGAGTATCTGGTATAATACAGTCTCTCCTCTTGTGTTTTATAAACTCCTGCATCTTGCCTGTTCTCCTCTATTCTTCTTCTTCGTTTTTTCCAGGGTTGTTGAAAAAAGACTATGCTATATTGCGTAGAACTTTGAAAATTGTCAACAGAACTAATGGTGTCCCTCTAAACCTTTTAGTTAAAACAGATATGGACAAAAATATTAACCATATGGCAGGAGTTATTTGATCAGATGATCAGCATCTTCTTCACTAAAAGCTCTCCATATATTGGTCATCTCGAAAGACAAGGAGTACGTACATAGGACTGTTTATACGTACGATTAAATATAAAATCTCTACAATACCGTATTTAGCCCATCTGCTGCGCAATGAAGACTTTATTAGAAATAAACTAACTAACTAACTTCTGCCTTTGAAAGTAAACTAATTGATAAATGCACAGCATGTTATTTATGTATTCTGAATCTAACTGCGAATATGATTGTCTGCCTGAACTAATTGTATATTTTCAACAAAGTTTTAGATAGAGTTATTATTCTTATTTCTTTTTATCTGATTTTTACTTATTTTATTAGCCGTATACATGTACACTTTCTCTGTCCAACTGATGCTATATGACCTGCTGAAAATTCTGTAGAGTATTCCTGAAATATCTTTCAGAATAAAGCTATTATTATTATTGTTTAAATCGGAAATGAATTTTACATCTCTATAATCAATGTATATAATGCAGTCCTACAAGAGGTTAGTTTCAGGTGGTACATCAGTTCCGTTGAAGTTGTATATACACTTTGCTAGAAAGTGCCAATAAGCAAGAATTTTAGGTGAACTAGGACTTCTCATTGATTGACTCCAACCAGCCAACTGTTAAATGCCTTTTATCATACTACAAATTTGATGTGTATATTTGTGGTCTGATTTATTTCACTCCATCAAACTTTTCATTAAGTCTCAAAACTATAATAGAATAACAAATGACTTTTATTGATTGTTAATCAATTATGCTAGAGAATTAAAATGTACAAGTGTTTACAGATCAATAGAACGATTGGGTAAAACAGCTTTACTAGTACCCTGCTGTTTTACCCAGCATGATATAAATTATAAAGAAGAAATGATACCATTTAAGCCAATAAGAGGATGCTTGTACATTCAATCGCATATTTAAGATATTGACAGGACTTATATTTTGTTGATTGTTCGGCATAATGTTATAAATGTCTGATATGTCTTCTATCCAAGTTACCGCTTTGTATAATACACTCAAAAGAAAAATCATGGAAGCATAATTGTGTACCTGATTTACTTGACGAAATATGTATGCTATTTTCTGAACATATGCCTTATTAATTTCATCTGGTTTTAAGAATATGAAATTATAACTCATTGAATTGACTTTGTAGAGATTCAACTGATTTCAAAATAGTTTTTTACTACCCACTAAAATCAGCTACAGTTGTTTTACCCTTCAACGATACCTGGAAGATGTAAAACTGTTGAAGAACAATAAAGTTGCCTTGTAGTCACATGCTCTTTGCGAAATCTGAAGATTTAGTCTGAATACATACATGGAGTTAGGATTATGAACTGCTGAAGATAACCAAACTTAGATTAAGAATTTCCTTTAGTATTCTCAGATTAAAAATTACTCTCTTTCTAATGAAAGTCAGTTACTTAATGCAAGCTTAGTCTACCGAACAGTGGTTCAAATTGCCACCCATTGCATCAACGTACCGAGAAATGAAGTAGCAAGGTAAAGGGTATCAGTATAGGAAAACATTTAATCACAGTCTCTAAAAGCAATGAGACGAGAAAGTGTATGTCAGCGAGAGTTAATACAATAGTTGAAATTCGGCTGTATGGTAGATTATAACACTATTTTACTTTATGTATTATGTGCTTTAGAGTGAAGTGTACATTAGTGCAATCCTGACAATATGCACTACTGAACCAGTTTGTCCACCCAAAGGATTTATTTAAATAACCCACAAAAACTTGAGGTATTGGAGAAGTGTCAGAAGTTCAGTCATCGCCTGTCACATAATCAATAATGCTTAACGATTCACGGAGGTGTTTGTCAGTTACCACTCATTTGAAGGAAAACACACATTTGTGGACAACATGTAGACCCCAGTGCAGATGTGTATATATACACATGGATGTCCCAGTGACAGCGTGACCAGTAATCTTCTATATTCACTCGCATCAAGACAATGAAGGTAAATAAATCATTTTCATAGGAATTTGATTTCAACCGTTGTAGTACATCTTCATGCTCATCTGTCTAACGGTTTTCGTCAGTCACGCACAGTGTCTAAGTGAGTTCAATGAATTGTTTGAGAGTGTGATGCCTACTGATCACAAGCCATGCACTTGTTAACACTATCTTCTTTCATATTTACTTTTCCTTTCTCATCTGATGCTACATCTTCGCATCAAACTTCGTCTTGTCTCATGTGATCGCCTCACCCCACATCGACTGGCTTTTCCTTCTTGGCATCTGATCACTGTGACGCCGCAGTTCTCGACGCCATGTTCAACATCTTACCTGCCGGAATAAAGAAGTTGGTCAAGAAAATTGTTCACTGGGCCTGTCCGAGAGGGAAATCAGGAGCTGCTTTTAGTGTAACAAGAGGCGATGCTTCTAATGTGACCACGACGAAGAAAATAACGAAGACAGTCATTGAAGGCAGGAAGTAGGTGTTTGTTGTAGAAGTCAGTCAGTGTCTGTTTATGTGTGTGCCATATGGGATAAGTTGAATTATGTCATGTTTTTTGTGAGCATTTTTTTGTCTTAGACCAGTTTTGTGAATAAAATAGACGGCTGTGTGGATGAATGTCTTGTTTTCTACTGGCTTGACTTGTTTGGGATGGCGTATCAGAGACTGAATTTAGGCACTCATGTCATCCCTCGGCAACTCAGAGTAGATATAGTTGATCATAATTCATACCACCTGCTTTCACCGAACTTATGCAAGCCACCTATACAGAGTACAGTTTGACTCGTTCCTTTAGTCAGTATCAACAGTAGATCTGTAGACCTCCTAAACGATGATGTTGGGACCCTATGTAAGAGATGATTAGAACAGTAGGTGGTAAGATGAAACATAAAGAAGTGGGCGATAAAATCTGACATAAAGATTAGGATGAAAATAACATGTGCGTTCGTCCACACTGCTGACATAGATTCTAAGTTACATCATCCAGAATCTTTAACCACTAACTTTGGTGAACAAGCAAGTACCAACCAGGCAGTCTACACTTCTGTATAAAGCACAGACCACCAGATAAGGACTGTATGGACTGACGTCATCTTTGAATTTGACCACCTCTCACCTTTTTGCAGCCTAAGTCTACTTCAGCTAACATGACTAGGCATGAGTAAGACATGTACTAGTCACCTGAGCCTGTAAAGTTTCACAACCTCGCCAAGTAACTTGCCTCTTTTATTTAAGCTTCTAAGCATGACTTCTGCTTCACTGACACGGTAGTTCCGCAACACATTGACAATGTTACGATTACAACACATGAAGCGTGCCCTTGTCCTACACCTTCAGTGATCCTATTTCACAGTCGAGTCGTGGAACAGAACAACCTACTTCGAAGTATATTCGAACCTTTGTAGACAATCAGATATCCCGTCAGGGCTATATGATGTGGGCTGACAAAAGCTAATCGAGGTCTTTTGATGCATGCTTAGATTACATTGATCCCCGACTCATCAGGACTGACCTGACTTCCCAAGTAAGTGAATTTGTCAGCTTTGCAACTAGTCTATTTAGGCATGAATAGCTAGATGGCAAAATCTCACATTTCCGCATTGAGGGACACAAGTTAAGGCCAATGAAAATGCAATGGTTGCAAATACACTTTATTGGTGAGTGCCAACAAGTATGAAATGTGGGTCAGACAAGTTTTTCTGCTAATCATTTACTTGCATCAAGTACTAATAAACAGCCCACCTCAGTGTTGTATAACGTTGTATAGTGGCTACATTGTAATCTTGGTCAACAAACTCCTTCAACCACCTCACTAGTGATTGCGAGGCAAAGTAATGATAAAGACCAGTCTTGAAGCAGTGGTTGACATCTGGGTTATGAGGGACCTATGCCAAACATTCGCAAATTATCACTTTCTTCTGAGTTGTATTAGTCTTCAGATGGCAAGACAGAAATATGTGAAGTCAGCCAGGTGAAAAGAGGTCTTCATGAAGACCTAAATGATAAGCACCGACTGAAAATAGAGAAAGAGAATGTGGACATCAATAACGAACACAACTTAATGTGGACGTCTCATGTAGTACTTCACTATGGGCTTTAAAATGCCTGCAAATGCGATGTGATATTACCTACCACTCCTTTCACTGAGAAGCACTATTTCAGGAAAAGGAACACAATGGCAACCTTAGGTCGAGAAACACAGCAGGTATTATAAACCGATGAATGAGTTTGTGTCATGAGATATGGTCGATGCATCCACGACCAGACCTGAAATCTGTCTTTTTTCAGGGTTCACACTCACCGGGATTCACTGCTGACTAAGGAACCTAGAAACTCCGAAGTAATGCTTATTAGAATGGTAACCCTGTGATTATCACAGTAGGATTTTTCTTTTTTTGAAGACTATGGCAGTGAATGATTCGGACCAATTAAAGGGAATCATATTCCTCTCCTACATACCCACTAAAACTTCAGTTAATGTAACACACTATCCTCAACCACTATCCTATTGTCCTTAAACGTTGCAGATTGCTTACAGTTTTTTTAACTACTGCAAATGTTGGAGGATTCATCTCAGTGTTCCATTTAGGATATGACTGGCAAGTGGATAACCAAATAATAGCTGGAGGTTGATTGCACTGTTCCTCAAAGTGTGGCTGTTTATAGTTTCAGTCTTTCTTTTCTTGAGTGAGCGTGTAAGTGAGAAACGGATCTTTCTCTACCAAAATCTTACTAATAGTTGACTTTTTCTCCCCAGCTTCCTGGATACCTCTGTAAATTTGTCTTCTCTTGGTCATCACAGCTAGCTTTTCCATCTCCCCTGCCTTTACTGTCCGTCAGTGGACACGAGAAAATCCGAGTTATACTCGCTTCTCATTGCGCTCGGAGCATGTAGGTCTACGTTTATGTGCATCCATTAATTTGTAGGTTGTTGAGACCCACATTTTATTTTTAACTTTCTAAGGGTCAGCTATCGTCTTCAGTGCTAATCTTACAGTAGTTTGCGGCTGTCGAAGACTTCTGCCGATAATTAGCCAACTAGTGCTCTTCTCAAAGAAATCACATCATCAAAATGATTTTGAAACTGTCTTCCAACTTTGGTTCTTTCAACTACATTTAGACGTTGGTAAATATTTGCTGGTACTACCACATTTTCAGAAGTATTCGCTAGAATGCTCGGAAATTCTCTGACAACTGCAACCAGCAATAACTGCTAGCATAATTGTCTATCTGTGTCTGTCATTGAAATGAGGTCAGTGACGACTAAATCGGGAAAGTTTATCTTTTTGTTTGAAAGTCGTTCTAACGAGGAACAGTTGGTTTTCTGAACGTCGTTCCCACAGGTGATCAGCATTATCCGTTTGTCCATCTGGGATTTTTAAAGTTACGATTAAATGTCACTATTCCTAACTTAGACTATCCAATTTTGCATTTAGATTAACTGCAACTATAATCACATCTAAATGTTTAGCTTTCAATTGGAGGGAGAAGTAGAGTTCTCAGTGGAAACCATCTTTTGCTTCGTCCGAGATGCAGCAGTGGGTGAGCAAGCATAGCTTACAAAGAGGCAACGCCATGTTTTACAGTGCTTTTGATCTTTACTGCACCAGTCAGTTGAATAACGCACAGATGAGTTCAAACTTGAATCCACCTCAGCAGTGCACTTTGTTTGTGAAAGAATGATCATTTGGTATTCCATGAACTTGAATAGCTATCAAGAGCCAAACAGTTCGGAAAATTGAAGAAGACCCAGGGTTATTCACAGATACACATGAATGCAGATTAGAAGGTAAAGATAAGGTAAATTGCTGTCGGTTGGAAGAGACTTTAATGCTGACTGAGATAAAAGAACCTTTGACACTTCCAGCCTATGGAAGGGGCACTTCTTTTAGGGGTACCCAAAAAGGTGGTCGGTAATAACAGTGAATAACCGCAGAATCCAAGGATT